TGAAAATGGTGCAACAGGACTTGGCACAGCTCATGCAGTTAAGTCACCAGCCCTCTTTATTTTTTTCTTTTTTCCCCCCCAGATTGATGTGACTTCTTTTGTCAAAAATTGTCACACAGATACGTGCAACTGCAATCTTGGTGGGGACTGCGAGTGCTTGTGCACCAGCATTGCAGCTTATGCCCACAAGTGTTGCCAACAAGGAGCAGCAATTCACTGGCGATCTCCTTCGCTCTGTGGTATGTACCTGGGCTGGCCTCGCACCGGAACTCATCTTTGAGGCATCCTTGGCCTTTTGCTGCCCAGTAATACAAATGTGACAGAAGCAGGTGGATAATAAATGTACTTCTTCACATTTTTCAAGCTGTCTGTGTGTTAACTGTTAGTCTTACACACCCAAAATTGCTGTCTTACTGAAGAGGATCTGTGCTCGGGGTGTGCCGGCGCAGAGACTGTTGGAAAGGCACCAGTATACCAGATCTGGGGTATGTCCAGTGTTGTCTGTAGGGCTGCAAAGAGATTCAGTCCGTTCTACTTCTCATTGACAGCGCGAAGGGTTCTCGGCTGTAGAATAATTCATGCTTCAGGGCTGCTGTCCTGGCACATCTATTGAAATACAGATGTTTTTAATGTTTTAAATTAAAACAGCTGTATGTCACTGAATAACGGGCTAAGGAAATATAGTCACTGACTGAAATACATTATGGGAAATGAAACTTCCTGTGATGAAAGTGAATTTTTCATTTTTAAGATGCAGATATACATAGATTCTCTTGTTACTTTGTAATAATAATGTGCTTGCTTTCTTTTTCTTTTAGCTTATGACTGTGAATATTACAATCAAGGTATGTAGTATTTGATATTACTGTCTTTGATTCATCCTCATATTTATATACCTTGCTGAATACGCTTACTCTTCATGTTTTCTAGCATACCAGCTAGCTATGTGCTAGAAACAAATCTGTACTCCCTGGTTCCAAAATGAAGTCCATTTTTATAAAGCATTTAGTTGCAGATAGTTCCCCACATTGACCACTCTAGAATACGGAAAGTGTCTTTGATGTACTGTTCTATCATCTTTCCTTCTGCATGATGCTATTTTGAGATATTTCTCTCTCCCCCCTTCACTTATTTTGTTTCTCTTTTAAAAACAAATACCCAAGAGACACTTCTTATATCAGTTCACTCAGAGTAACCCTGGAAGAAAACATTGTTTGGTAATTTCTCTCTTTCACAGGTTAGAATGATTTTTTTTGTACTCCGGGTTTGGGTATGTGAGTTTAATGAGCTCAGCAAGTTAGCAAAGCAAGTCCCCATGGGCCTTTCTGCTCTATGTCCAGGGACAGTGGTGGCATGCATACAAACATCGTAGTTGTAAGCAAAACAACACACCTGGCATCTCAGATGAAACATGATACAGTGCACACTGCAAATAAAACCCTTCATAGCTTGTGCTGAGAAGAATCTCTGTCAGCTGCAGCAGTGTTGGAGGTTCTCTCTTTTCCGTTCTCCCTGTTTCCTAGGGTAGGAGCGCGTAGTCGCTATTGCTCGAGCTCACTGGACCTTCAAAACCATTAGAAGGGAGTGGTGACTTTTATGAGCAGCCTGGAGTCTTGTATGTCATTTTGCAACATATTCCTTGTCTATTTAATATCATTATGTCTTTATACTGACATTTTCTTCCCTCCTGTTCTGCTATGGATATCTAAAATACTGTTTTTCTGTGCAATATCTCATGTATCTCCTGAGATCTGTCCTATATAAACACAAACAGACAATCCTACACAGACACCTTTGTGTGCATCTTAGAAGATTATACATGGTTATTACCATTTGAATTTTCATCTCACTGAACTAATTGCCTTTGGCACAGGGAAATTCAAGTCCTTTTCTCCAAAAATGAATGGTGTGGATACAATGCATCTCTGATGATACCGAGTTAAGGTTAATCAGAATAGTAATTAATTTGGTATGATTTTTGGAAAAAAATAAAAAAAGCCTCATAAATTTTATGAACATTTGTCACACTATGCAATTATCTTCTAGGTTTTCATTCTGAAGCGGCTTGCTTTGTTTTATTTTTCCTTCTTTCATTGACATATGAAAGAGATTGCTCTGGTTTAATTAAAAACTCAGTTGAATTAATTGATGGGCTTTTTGTTTGACCTGGTGTATGTAGTTTTAACATTGCTTCTATTTTTAATGGGTGAAGGTCAGTGGCCCAGTTGTGTTGAATGATCTTAGTTATCCCTAATGTCTCAATTAATAACCTCATCATATTCAATGTGGGGGTGGATTAATGCACCATGCAGCATATCTTGGCAGTCAGGGAAAAGCTCTAGAAGAATGTTAGCTTGTGCTTGTACTGTAAATTTCAGAACTGGGACTGTTATATTTTGAAATTGATAGGTTACAAGATTTTATGCAAAAGTCACACAAGTATTGTACTGTAAAGAACAGTTCCTTAGAATGAGAGTGGTATCCATTTAACAAAATTAATTCCTGTGGCATCCCCTCTTATATTTGGATACTGTGCATGTGCTTTGTGGAGAGTAAGGTATTGAAAAGGAAGGGAAGCTTGACTGAATACAGTGATATGAATGTGACTTTTGATACATCTTTTTTAGCAATTTGCATCCTATAATGAGCATCATATAGTAGATGATTTTTTTCTCCTCCAAGGAGTCTGGCCTACTACAGTAGCAGCATGTAGATCTTGCTAGGTATAGCTGACTTTCCATAATTTCCTTGCAATAGGGAATTTTGTCTTATTTAAAAAGTAGTAAGGTGTACTGGTTTTGGCTCAGATAGAGTTAATTTTCTTTATATAGTTAGTATGGTCATATATTTTGGATTGGTGATGAAAACAGTGTTGATAACACACCCATGTTTTAGCTACTGCTTACACAATGTCAAGGCCTTTTCCGCCTCTCACACCACCCCACCAGCGAGTAGGCTGGGGGTGCACAAGAAGTTGGGAGGGGACACAGTTGGGACAGCTGACCACGGCTGACCAAAGGGATATTCCATACCATGTGACATCATGCTCAGCAATAAAAACTGAGGGGGGAAGTTTGCTGGGGCTGGCATTGCTCGGGGTCCAGCTGGGCATCAGTCGGCTGGTTGTGAGCAATTGGGTTTTTTTGCATCACTTTTCTTGATTTTGTTTTCCTTTGTTTCTTTTCCTTCCTTCCTTCCTTCCTTCCTTCCTTCCTTCCTTCCTTCCTTCCTTCCTTCCTTCCTTCCTTCCTTCCTTCCTTCCTTCCTTCCTTCCTTCCTTCCTTCCTTCCTTCCTTCCTTCCTTCCTTCCTTCCTTCCTTCCTTCCTTCCTTCCTTCCTTCCTTCCTTCCTTCCTTCCTTCCTTCCTTCCTTCCTTCCTTCCTTCCTTCCTTCCTTCCTTCCTT